AACAGTGGAGTGAGATAGAGAGGGGCATTCTGCAAGAGAACGGTCATCAGAGTGGCACATCCAACATATAACACGCATGCACACCACACAACAACAATACTTACAGCATTGGCAACAACGGTTAAAAAGGAAGTATGAATAAATTCACTGCTCCTATCTGATTCTAATGGTTATTTGATATACATATATATTAATTCTAACATTATTATAGAGGATACTTCATATGGGAAATAAATGCCCTATTTTTATTTATGCCTGTCAGTCTGCGCAGTTGAGAAATCTTAAAGAAAATGCATTCCCCCTGCAAGGATTGAACTTTAGTTCCCCTTTGTAGTGGGGGTAAACCACCATTTGATCCAGTGTGCTATGTTCTTCATGACTGAGAGGGTAAATCATATTGGATCAAACAGTGGTTTTCCAACTATAAAATGGGGACAGTGATTTGATCCTTGCCAAGAATGCATTTTCTTTACTAAAGTTTCTTGAATGTGCAGGCAGACAGATGGAATTGTAATGCTAATATCAGCTGTTTCATTATAAGAAAACATTTGGCATTAATTTCCTGAACAGCCAGTATGAGTGTTGGCTGAAATTTATAAAATAACAATTTTTTTCAGGAAAATAGTTTTCTCAAGTCCAGTAGCTATTATTGCTCTTTCCAGTATTGATGGAGGTTTCCTTCCTAACTTTTTATTTGAATTAGTGCCGAACATTAACTTGATTATGTCATCATTTTTTCAATTTACAGGTGATATCGATTTTAGCAGTTGCTACTGGTGAAAGTCATCAAGTGATGTAGTTCCTGTTATTTGGTACAGTTCTTTGTGATTCTGGAATGCCAGTCGACAAGGTATGAAGAAGTGTGATCTTCACCAAGACTCACCGAAAATCATTTTTAACCATTGATCTCAGAAAGTGGTTCAAACAGCTGACTGTTTAAATATTTTCGAACCGGTTTGGCACCATACATGATAGCTATATGAAAGTCTCGATCTGATGAGGCTGTTTAAGAACATGAACTGCGTTTTCAGGTTAATGTTTTGGTTTTACAGTAATTTGCAGTACTGGGTGAAACTACCTCTAGTGCAGCCTATTCTATATACAATCTCCTATACTAAATTTGTTATAACTGATCCACATACCAAGGTACTTGAAGTGTTTGGTATTTACTAATTCCACATTCTCAATTTTTATGATGGATTCAGTGTAGATACTATCACTGATTTCTCTCTAATTCCAGATAATAGTTTGTTTTGGAAGGGTTTATCCTGAGTACCATTTCTTGGAACACTTGGTAGGGGACATTGATTTTCTGTTCAAAATCATTCTTATCCCAATCACATTTATTGGCATTGGCAGGAAAAATACAGACACTGTTTTTTATTAGATTCGCTTGGGATGTGATATGGAGTGCTTAAATGATCAGTATCCACCTCTTCACATCTGGGTTTGTAAATACACAGGGCATAGTATAAGAAAAGATTAAATAGATTGGGGCTCTCATTTCCTCCTTGTCGTACTCCTAATGAGGTTTGAAATGTTTGTATCGGGATTTTTGCTAGACAATACACTGTTTAATAAATAACAATGGGACTTCTATTTCAAATACAAATTAATAACTATAATAAAGTTTGAAGTAAAAATAAATGCACTAATATATATATATATATAAAATGCAACTCAACAAATCTATCAAAATATATAAAAAGTGCTAGAATTTAACATTTTAAGAACAGCAGAATCTTGCTAAAAAAGTACTTAATATATAAATAAAGTGACTATTTCAATGGACTTATTTCACTGACTGACTCTAAAGTTTCATGTAATACTGTTTGTCAGTCACATGGTTTGATAAATCTATTGAATTACCAGATTTCATTTAAACAAAACTCTGAAGTCAGTCAATAAGTCAAGACAATTGAAATATATATATATATATATATATATATATATATATATATATATATATATACACACACTGTTTTGATGAGAATATATATATATATATATATATATATATATATATATATATATATATACTGTTTGATGAGAAGGAACCATATATATATTATTCAAACAAAAATAGAAGAGTCCATGATTAAATTTTGTTTGGCAAGGTGTTTTAATCATTATAGTTAGTTAAACAACTGACATCCCGGGGAGAATGGAGGGTACACAGTCAAAGTGTTGTGGGGGTAAAACAAAAAATTAGACTGAATTTAAACATTAAAAATTGATTTATATATTTAATTATTACATTGTAATGCAAGTTAAAATTATAAATATAATTTCACTTTCACTTTTCACAAGCTAAGTTTCAAAATGCATTTGTTTCAATTTTGTATTGTTAAATTCAAATGTTTTAGGTCCTCACATGTAAAAATAAAAGGTTTTGATAACCATTATCTTTGTGCACAAAAGCAGCTCAATTTCCACATAATGAAACATTCATTAATATAATAAGCCCACATACATATAAGTGGACACTGAGGTCAACACTGACAGTGTTTCATGTTTGACTGCAATCTTCAGGCCATGTGTAATGTGTTGGCTTAACTATTTATATATGCTAGTCAATGGTGCATTATAGGCAGAAGGTCTACTGTATTATCCTAATGGTTATTAGGTGGGTATTAACTGTTCTATTTCAAATTATGCTAAAAGCTATTGAGTAGAAATAATTATGAATCTGAATGAAGTTATTTGTTGCTATTTTATAACGTTGTTTGTTAACTTTTTATTCTTATTTTACTGATTAATTATTTACTTGTTTATTATTATTATTATTATTATTACATTTACTTGTATTTATGTGTGCATTCATAGTTTGTTAATTTGTTTATTCTTTACCTTATTTATAATTTGTTTATTTTCTTTTATTTATTGGGGGAGGTAGTTAACTAATTTGTTTAGTTTAAAGTATTGGCTTTGTCTAAAGTAGATTACATTATCTACATTGTATATAGTGCCTATATTTGCATTTTTTATGATGGTATTTTACAAGGCTTTTTTTTTATTATTTTTTTTTATTATTTTTTTTTATTTAAGTAGCATAGTAAAAATTTGTTTTTGTGTCTGCATTTTGAGAGAAGTTCTCATTGTTTATTTAGTAATTTGTGTTGATCTAGGAAGTTAATTATAGTTATCTTCTCTTACAGGCATGAAACGGACTGTTGCTGCTTGGTTTTGATCTGTGTCCACTTTTACCCATAAATATAGTCAATCAGTCAGTTATGTGCATGCATAATACATGCTTAGGTGATCATGTATCTTTCAATACATGACTGACAAGGCAGATTTTTAGTAGGTTCCAATTTCTTTCTGTGGTAGACCAGTTGCCATCCAAGGCTATAGAACCCGGTCTGTCCTGCTATTTACCCATAGCTGAGGGGTGGGGTGGGGGTATTAGCACTGGAATTTGAACTCGGCTCTCCAATTCCTCAATCTGAGCCACTATCAATTATATTTTTTATGGTTTCCCCTAAGTGAATGTAGGTTTGAATCCTGCCAGAGAACCCATATTTTTCTAATAAGATTTCTCAGATATTCTGGCTGGTAGATGAAAATAAATATGCTGTTTACCTACAGGTATAGCATGTCAGGCCAAATGACAATTCTGTGTAAGATACAGGTTCGATTCCTGTCGGAGGACACATTTTCTATGAAATTTCTGATATTCAGACTGGTAAATGTAATTAACACTGTTTATTATAAACAGAGCATTTACTTAAATAATTGTATCTATAAAAATAACAAACAGAAAATACATTAAATAATTGTTGCGCTTAGTCCATTTCATAATAGATGTTGTCATTCGTTTACATTAAGATACGCTTTGAGCAGGTATGATCATTCGAGAAAGATCATGCGAAATTTTTTTGTTTAAAAACAGTAATTTGACTTTGCTAACCAGAGCATTTACTTAAATAATTGTATCTATAAAAATAACAAACAGAATACATATATATATATATACATATATATATATATATATATATACACACACACACGTTTTATTAAAAACGATTGATAAGGTACTGCGATTAATTTTTTTTTTTATTAAATTTTTCTCGTTTTCTTATGAAGAAAAATTAAATAAAATAACTTCTTGCCTGTTGTTTTTAATGACACTTAAAAGAGGGATTGCTATCCAAGTACACAATTTAATATATATATATATATATATATATATATATATATATATATGAAAAAACTGGCTTGGGGAGAGAAAGAGAAACAAGAGAAGCAAACATGACATTTTAAAGGAATAACCAAGCAGACAGTTTTAACTATCCAAGAGTCAATGGTGAAAAATATGCTAAGTGATTGGATGTGGTTAGTCAGGAGGGATGAGTCATTGCTCAATCCGACTGGCTGAAGAAATGAGCAGTCAAAAAGCAGCAGCAGCTACCACATTACATATGGAAGTAACAACTCCTGGTAGAGCTGACAGAGCCTTTAATGGGGTGTGGGAAAGAGAGAGGAGGGCTAATAAATAAAATGTCTCTTCAGGTTGAATAATCCTTTTCTTTTCAAAGAGAAACACTTTTAATAAGAGGAACTAAAGGTTACTGCAGTATAGATTCCAATGAAATTTGAGAAAGGAAAATAATTTTGAGCAATGACACAAGGGACTTGGTTCTAAGGTTTTTTTGTATAGAATTTGAAAACAGGATATGATAGGATTTTTTTCTTCTATTACTGCTATTTTAATAATTCAATATGTAAAATGCATCTAACATGATTAAATATAGACAAATAAAATACTGCATACCCAAGAAAAATTTTTTTTTTAGTATAATAGAACAAACATTTAAATTGGTGTATGATTTGATGAACACTTAATCAATACCTACATGAGATAGTGACCAACAAGTTTTGAGAGTGAAAAAAAAAAAAAAAAAAATAGCAAACAAAAACCAGAGAGTATAATTCATCTTGTAGGAATGAGAATAAATCAAAAATAAAATATTTATTATGAGGGTTGGTAAAGTACTTACTCCTGGATTTTTTAAATGGAATTCATTTCTCTTCGTTGAAGTTAACTTGATAGTTGTAGTAGATGTAGTTGAAGATGTGGTCGCTTCTGTCGTGGTGGTGGTGGTGTCTTTTGTGGTGGTGGCAGTAGTGGTGGTGGTGGTACTGCTTGTGCTCGGTACTGTTGAAGGAATCGGATTGGTTTCTGAAGCAAAGACAAAGAGAAATTAATTCAAAGTAGAAAAAAAAAAAAAGAAAAAGAAAATCATATACGTGGATGTATCAATAAATCTGCAGTCCAACATACATTAGCTAAATTTTGACCTGAAATTTTCACTCTCTCCATGTGATTACTTTTCACCACTGAATTAAGTGCACTGATAATGAAGGAAATTATGTTGAAAAGGATAAAAATATTTGTTGTGTGAAATAAATGCTTTGGATTTACTGATGTACCTATGGATATTGGCAATAACTTTGGAAAGAGGCAGTGAAATTTTTGTATCTAGTAAATGATTTTGTTAATAAGCAACTGCACTAAAATTTGACCAAATCAAGCAACTCCGACACCGAAGTCGGCGTGCCTTAAACAACTAAAAAACCAAACTTAAAGTCTGCCAAACTTGGAGAAAAAGAAAAAAAAATAAGTGTCAAAAGGTACAATTTTTCCATTGACATGGTTGTTATTTTAACCAGTTTAACCTCTTCACAAATGTTTGTTATTTTAAAAGCAACAATTAAAAATTGAAATAAAACCTAAACATGAAAATGAATTAATACATTTTTTTGTTCTTGTGAATTTACAATAAAAACACGAAACACTATTTACAAGAATAATTTTATATTTACAACATTCTAAAAACTAATACAATTAAATCTAATGCATTTACCAATTTACAAAGAAATAAATATGAAAATTTTTTATTCATAAATCTATAAGCATTTAGTAAATTATTAAAATATGTGAACAAACTATAAAGAAACCTTTATTATTTACCATTATATTGTTTGAATCAATTGGCAATTAACCAAAGTTTTTTTTTTAAACAAATTCCAATAAACAATATAATAGCTGTCGATTCTCAAGAACAAAGAAAATCTATAAGTTCACTGTCATATGTTTAGTTTTTATTACAATTCTAATAATTTCTTTTTAAAACAACAAACATTGCCGAGGGAGTGAAGGTAGTTAAAATAATAGTGGTGTCGGGGGGTGGGGGTGGGTAGGTTGTACTGTCTTTTTGACAATCCGTTTTTTGTGGGCATGAAGGTACAAATTTTCTGAAAGATTTTTTTTTTTAATGTTGTTCACCAAGAAAAGGTCTAAGAGCATTCAGTAATCCTCTACCTTGAATGGTAGAGGATTACTGAATGCTGTTGTTGAAAATAGCTAACAGTTGACCAGAGACTCGAAGAGGTTAAGATTGTAGTCACTGGGAAGCATTCTCTCTGGAGTCTGTTCTACAAAGCAGCAATTCTTAGAAAGAAGCTATCTGCATGGAACTTCTTCCTTACCAATGGAATATAATGAATCTGTGCTGTGCTGTAATGAATGGTCTAAACTGGCGGAACTAAGGGATGTAGAAAGATTTACTAAATAATTTACTTTATATTGTATTTAAGAAATCTACCAATTTCACTAATTTTGTTAAGGTGAAATTTTTCTTCTGTACTTATATCCAAGCATAGGACATGCAGGTGGTGTCATATTAGTGAGCTATAATTCCAGTCAAGTTTGCTACATTTACTTTCATGCAAATAGCCTTGGGAAAGATATAGAATCCATCTTTTGAAAACGGTATGTAGCCTAGATCATGGACTGTGGCCAACTTATGACCGTGTTGATGCATTATTATGGATATCCAAGCATAAAAAAATGTGAGGAACGTAGGATCCTAATTCTTGTGCAAAAATTAACCGACTTTAGTAATGGTCTAATTCCTAAAATAATTATAGACAAATCCAGGATATTAGAGATTGGTTTCTGGTGCCATCATGTGTTATAAAAAAACAAGGAATCCTTCCTCTCTTATGAATCATACACTGAAGGCTGTTGAATGGATCGGTTGAAATATTGTAGCAACATTAATATTACTAACTAGTCCTAACTAACTAGATTGGCAGCAAGGTGAGAATTACTGAAAAAATTAATCTTCATCACGATGTATGTGACTTCATTTGTTGTACAAAAAGTTTAGCCTGCTACTGAAGATGACCCTGATCCCTGAAGAATAGTGTGTTTGAATTTCATAGTTGTTTTGTCATATCCTGCTATGGCAACAGAAAACAACTTTAAGTGAAATTAATAAGGATACTGCAACTGAGAGCCCTTGAAAAAGAATGCAGTGGGAAGTAATATTAATAATGCAGAGTACAAGATGTTAAAGGCTATTACAGGTGAAAATAAAGACATTGTCAATAATGGTTATTAAATAAATCATTAAGAAATTAAAGGGGAAATAAATCAAGAAATGAATGGATATTTTCAGTTTACATAGACAGAAAAAATAAATTAAGCAGAATATGAAAATATTTCATCAAAATGAATTTGAGATTCAATAGTTTTCAAGCTGATAAAGGATATTTAAAAAATTAATTTTATTTCAAGTAAGGCAATAAAGCCCCCCAATAGGTAAGGGATTACCAAGTATGAAAGAAAAAGAAAACATTAATAACCTTTAGCACTCTGTGGGGGACTCTTTTTTTCCAAGTAAAATGTTAATCCTGCCAATGCAAATTTAATTTGAATTTCTTGATTGTGTAGTCATATCCTTTTATGGCAACATTTAAAACCACCTAAACTGAAATTGAGAGCCAGGATACTGCAATTTCAAATATATAGAACTAATATATAAAACACTATATTTTGAGGGGGGATTCCATTCACAGTAAGAGAGGAAGTAATATTTATAAATGATGCAGAGTGCTAAATGTTAAGGAAAGAGAAATAAAGAGTAGGGATTAAGAATAAAGAAAATAATGATTGATCTTTAAAAATTTAAATGCAATGCCAATGTTGAGTGTAAAGCAAGAAGCTGGAAGAGTTCCACAAGTGAGAAGTGCAAGAGAAGAAACTTAACATAGAACTTGTGGTTACATCTCGCCATTTCAACTGTAAAATGGGGAGACCTTTCTGTCAATTTAGTACTGAGCTTAAATTCATAAAGTCAAGGTACCAAAGAGAAAAGCTCGTCAGAACAATTACTATTAAAATATTTATAGAAAAGGCACAGGGAAGCTATGTTACAGTGGTAGAAAAGTGACTGAAACTGAGATGTCAGGTCAGGACCATTAAAATTGCAGATTTTTTCTTCGTATTTTATCAAGAATAGACAGCAGAAGCAATTTTATTAAAGGAGGATTTTATGAGAAACAAATATATGACTGCTACCTGCTAAAACACTGTGTTGATTGACGTCTGCAAAAGTTGGTTCATAGATAGTCTGGGCAGGAAAAGATATCAGTGTATAAAAGGGTCAAAGAATAGAATAGTGTGCTTGAATTTCATAGTTGTATTGTCATATCCTGCTATGGCAACAGAAAATAACTAAGTGAAATGAATAATAAGGATACTGCAATTGAGAGCCCTTGAAAAAGAATGCAGTGGGAAGTAATATTAATAATGCAGAGTGCAAGAAGTTAAAGGCTATTACAGGTGAAAACAAAAGACATTGTCAATAATGGTTATTAAATAAATCATTAATAAGAAATGTAGAAAGGTGACTTACCAACACAAATCGGAATTTGTGGCAGGTTAACTTTTGTGCTCTCAACTTCTGTCCCTTGCTTATCAACACACCAACATTTGCTTTCGTGACACTGGATCGCTTTGTAGTCTCCAGATTCAGAACATTTTGGACGGAAGCTGCCGAGCAGACCAGTTGAATGTTTCAACAGAGACTTTAAGCAAAGACCCAAATTGGAACCTAGGAACAAAGAAATAGGCATTTATAAATTAAGAAGCAAACATCCTTATTCTTGTGTTCATACAAGGTGCTACACAAACTGATGGCATGAAAGAGATCCTCTAAAATTATAGATAAAAATATAACAGAAAATGAGCTTTCCCTGTTGATGCAACTGATTTTGTTTTTTTTTTTTTACGACTTAACCTTTTGCAGATTATTTAAAGCCAGAAAATATTTTTAGCTTGTAAGAATTTTTGGAGATAATGATTTTTTTTTTTTTTACTGATACAAGTTATACTAATTAATCCATAGCTGGGTTCATACCTTTTCCAAAAGGTATTTGCAAGTAAGTGAATACAATGAACCTGACTGGAATTCAAACTCAGCTCTCTGATTTCCAATTCCAAGCCATTATTCATTATACTAGACACACATCCAAGCTTACATCACCTGATATTCCTAAGTGGTCACCCATCTAGGTACTGACCAGGCTCAATGTTGCTTAACTTCAGCAACTGTATGAGAACCCATGTTTCAATGTGATATAAGCTTCTGTACTAACAATACTGGAAGATAAGGACATATAAATCCGAACATCAGACTAATAGAGGGTAATTGAATGACAAAATAGAAAAACCTAAGTGACATGTTTTGTTCCAAAAAGGAATGTTTTCTGACTAATAATGGTTTTATCAACAGTATCTCTTTCTCATAGTTTTAAGATATGTTACATCTTTAAGTGTTTAGTATCAGGGATAGAGCATGCGTAAATGTAAGTGTGGATGCTAAGGTCAACATCGAGTGGTCACTGTCTATTATTTGTTTGAACACAATCTTCAGGCCATGCGTGTTGGTTGATAGCATGACTAATAATGCTGGTCAATGGGGCATTATGGGTAATGACAGGGCTGGTGCAAGGGTTTTGTGACGTCTCCACATTCTATTATATGGGGCCCCCACTCTAGTACATCCCAATTTTCATAAGGTACTATTCATATAAAATACAAATTTTATTGTAACCTAATTATGGGTCATATGAAATGCCGGTGAACAATTAGAAAAATTGAAAATAAATACAATGTATTTAAATACAGATTAGAGATATGTCACAATAGATCATTCCATCTTAAATAAATCAACATCAATGTTTTGCAGTAATGTTTAACATCAACTTGAGATTTTTCTTGTTAAAATGTTGAACAATAACTTATTTATCATAATGGATAAAAAAAAATAATGAATGTTAGCTTTTTTTTTGTCGAGATTTAGCGTAAGCAAAATGAATGCATGGATTTGGATGCCTCCAGCCCCCTGAATGGCATCAAAATCTACAAAAATTTTTCAACTTTTAATAGTTGGTTGTACTTAGTTTAATTTGTAACATATATGAATGTAGCTAAAAATAATCAAATATTGATACCAGGACACCCCCCCCACCCCAGCTTGGGTTTAGGGATAGTACACACGGGACCTGGTTAGTGAAGTCAGGTATTTCTCGTTTATTGTGCTGTCATAATGGTTACTGGATAAGTAGAAACAGTTATATTTTAAACTATTCTAAAGACTATTGAGTAGAAATAAGGGAGTGAATGCAGTTATTTTATAGCCATTGTATAAGGGTATTTGTTGATTTATTTATTAATGATTACTTAGGCTATTTTGTATTTATTCATCAATTATTCAATTTATTATTGATATTAAATTTGCTTAGGTGTGATTATGCATTGTATATAATGCATATATTCACATTTTTCTCCTTGTTAGTTTGTGATTTTTAAGCAATGCAGTAAAAAAAATGTTTTTGTGTCCGCATTTTGAAATAAGTTGTTTGTTCATTTAGTAATTTGTGTTGGTCTGGGAAGGTGATTATAGATATTTTCTCCTACAAAGTTTATAAGTTTTGGATTTTATTGTTGTAGGCTGGTGCTGTTTCCCATCGATGTGTTTTGAAATTTCCTATATATGTTCAGAAAGGATTATGCTATTTGCATATTTACTATTCATAAAGAAGAGGAAATGGAGAGGGGGGAAATGGGCGAGAGAGAGAGGGGGGGAAATAAGGAGAGAGAGAGGGGGAATGGGCGAGAGAGAGAGGGGGGGAATGGGCGAGAGAGAGAGGGGGGGAATGGGAGAGAGAGAGGGGGGGGAGAGAGAGAGGGGGAATGGGCGAGAGAGAGGGGGGGAATGGGGAGAGAGAGAGGGGGGAATGGGGAGAGAGAGAGGGGGAAATGGGCGAGAGAGAGAGGGGGGGAAATGGGGGAGAGAGAGAGGGGGGAAATGGGCGAGAGAGAGAGGGGGAAATGGGAGAGAGAGAGGGGGAAGGAAAAGAGCAAGAGAAAGAAAGTGAAAGTGCATGTTTGCTAATGGTATATACCTTATGAAGGCTGATGAATAGATTAGCCAAACTACTGTCAACAAAAGCAGGTATACAACAAGGTTCAATTATCCAAGATAGCAAGAGAGAGAGAGAGAGAAAAAAAATTTGACTTTACTTACCATTTTCACAATCTGGTTTTTCATCCGATTCACTTCTATTTGTTCCTTTGATAATCAACCCATTAGGATCAACACACCAGCAAGCATAATTCGTACACTGCCGCTTATGGTATTCCCCTTTCTTTGTACAGTGCGGCACATAGATGTTACCTGATGCTTTATGTTCTTTATGCTGACGAAGACATGGAGTTAACTTTGTTCTTAAGTTTGGATCATCAGTTACTGCTGAAAGTTCTGAAAAATAGGCAAACACCCCTTTCACTTATAAATATTGCAGTTTGGATTATATTTACACATCTAGATCAATAGAATCTATACAAACAACACAAGTGACAAAATAATTATACAGTTTCCTATTAAAAAAAAAAAAAAAGAAAAAAAAAGGAAACAAAAACATTAACAGTTATGGAAATCAGTTTTTTTGGCTTGATTTGTGGTATACAGAATCTACTTATTTTACAATAAGGTCTTCTATATTACAGCAAAAGAATAGCATTGGACTATCTTCTGTGGTTTAGGTATGATACAAAAGACTATATCAAGGTTAAATAATTGCTACTCTGGCTCTGTGCCTACCTAGGATTTATTTACACACTAAATAAGATGAGCTATTAAGATGTGTGATTCAAGTTAAAATATTGCCAGGTGACAATTTCCTGTTTACAGCTTACTTTTATGGTTAATAGTCAGCCTAGAGTATTGTGATTTAAAACAACAATAAGGAAAACAATAAGGAAAACAAAAACAAAAACAAAAAAAGAGTAATAACAAAAAAAATAAATTATATTAGTAATGAAAATACTGTATTTGCAAGCTGAGATGACTTACTAGATGTACACACCTTGCAAGAGTAAAATCAGTTTCATTCATTTGTTTTTCTTTTTAATTTTTTACAAAGAAATTTACATCTACAAGAATGCCTGTCTGAATCCTTTCTTGTTAGGTGAAGGGGGTTCACATAAATTTGAATCAGGCATAGGGATTGTTGGCAGAGAGAGAAGGTCGGTGAATTTATGCTGCTTGCAGAGGTTGGAGGCAGAAGTCAATGACAGTGTGCAATGGTTGTTTGTGATTAGTGTGACACTGAGAAAAGCCTGTGGCCAAGAAACTATGCATTGTTGTTGCTGCTAAAATTTTCAAAAATGTTGTTGCACTTAAGTTCAAATATTCAGCAAACCCAAGTTCAAGTGATTTATCTGGTTAACTGACTCAATATTTTGTGTTGAAATGCTCATTAGAACCACAAGTTTTTCATGTGAAATCCTTGAGTTGGTCAACCAGAAAAGTCAGTTGAACAATCTTGATTTATTCAATATTATAGGGCTTATTTTCTGTTGGAAGTTTTTGGGTGAAAGTTCTGCTAGCCTGTAATTTTCAGTTGTGTTACATACATACGTGTGTGTGTGTGTGTGTGTGTGTGTGTGTGTGTGTGTGTATATATATATATATATATATATATATATATCAGTGGCATAGCTAGAGAAAACATCACCCGGGGCGGTCTGCTCAAATGTCACCCCAATGACCCCGATTCACACTATTCTGAATGGTTAGCTTGTAGCTAAATTTTCATACATGCTCTACCTCTACTTTACTCTACTGACCGGTATGTTACTGTTTACATGTATGATCCAAGACAAAATCCAATACCACAAAATAATCAGTTCAAATCAAAAGATTTTTAAAATGCAACTGTTCACTTTCAGAACAACTAAATACAAAACACGGCAATACACAAGAGAATGACATTCGATACTATGGTCTTAGAATGAAGGTTTTCTTGTTTTCATTGTGGCAAACTGGTCAATGACATCGTCAAAATGTCTTGTAAGCTCGTTTTCAATGGACAGCACAGCCAGATCTGACAGTCTCAACTGGCTCATGGCTGACGTAATTTTCTGTTGCTAATTTTCCGGTGTCCAATTTTCCGTTGCATCATTTTCTGGGTACCATTTAATTATCAATGATGTTTGAAAGTATTTTTCTTGACAAAAATGTTCTATTTAATTTTTTCTGACGGAAAACCCTGTGTCTCCACCACTGTTTTCAGACTATTTTTGGCACCTTAGCCTGGTTGAAAAATTTTGTTGGGGGTGACATTGTGTCATCCCTCCTGTGCTGGCACCCGGGGCAGTCCACCACCCCCCAGCTACGCCACTGATATATATTTCAAATATTTTTAGTGGCTGCCCATATTTGAGTAGACACCGTTTTATTTTAAACAATATTTATTTCTTCTGGTCTACATGCTCAAGAAAACTTTATCGAATGTCCAGACAAAATACTGTTTAAAATAAAATGGAGCGTCTACTCAAATATGGGCATCCACTAAAAATAACATTTGAAGTAATTAAAATATTTCTGATTAAAAAAAATTCAAATCCATTAATTCTTATATATAAAAATTAATGGATTTGTTTTTTTTTAAATATATATGTTTTAAGGTATGCCATATTTATGTGTTAAGGTGCTCAAAATCAGGGATAGAGTGTATGTAGATATAAAAGTAGGCATTGATGTCAACACCCAGTGGCAACAGTCTTTTTCATACTTAAATGCAATCTACAGGCCATGTGCTTTGGCTTGATTATATATGCTGGTCAGTGGTGCCTTATGGGTAAGTATTGTATTAAGCATAACCATTAAAGTAATACAATAAACCTACCCATAATGCACCACTGACCAGCATATATGATTGCATTTAAGTATGAAAAACTGTTGCCACTGGATTTTGACTTCAATGTCCACTTACATATGAGGGAGAGGAATGCTGAGCCTGACAAGGAAATCATTGGAGATTCTGATGTTAGAAATAGGTTCTGATGAGAATTTATTGGTGTGTGCGTGTATGTATGAAAAATAAAATTTTTATATAAATAAAAGTGCAGCTACAATATTGCATCAATTTCATTTAAGTGTTAGTTGGTGTTTTTAATTGTTAGTTTCATTTGCAAGCAAAAAGCAGTAAGTAAACGTTATGGACTACACATGCATTAAATTCAAAATATCATTCAATTTGTCTTGGATTTAAATATGAGATTCTTTCCGAAAAAAAATTTCTTTTGTTCTCCTTGGGAGACAACATAAATTATTGCAAAATTAGAAAAAGAAAAAATTAAAAAGAAAAAATTAAAAAGAAATAACAAAAACTGAATGTATTAATTCATAATTATTTCCCTTGTATTTCCACAAATCATTAACAGAGGCAATAATTTTGTCAAGCATGAATCGCCATCAAAAGCTGAATCTATAAAATTATAGTAAAGTTTGCAAAAAGTCATTAGGAAAAATGATTTTACATAAAAATTTTAATTTAATTTCACGTAGTTATTGCAAATTCATCTTATTTCCATTGCTTTTTTATTACAACTCTCGAACCACCATTCTATCGGTAAGTGTATGTCAACAGAGAATAAGTAAACCAGTGGAAAGATTTGAACTTACATGCCTTAGTCTATCCAGGGAAACTGCTTTACCAATTAGACCATGAAGTCTACCATTTAGTGAATCTTATTCTCCCTTGAATACTTATTTGCCAAAGAAAATAAAGGATGAAAGCATGATATAGTTAGGTTATTAACTTCCCAAGGAAAAGGAAGAATGTTTGAATCTAGCCAGTGATGTATTCTTTATTTCTGATCTACATTGCATACCCAAGAGCAGAGAATGACAGTCCTTGCATAGTGATAAGAACCAACAGAAATAGTAATGATAATATTATCCATTTCCCCTACCCTAGGGAAGCAGGGAAAGTACTTGTCAAAAGTTAATTAACAATCCTTAAATTTAAATTCATCTAATATATGATGGCATTTAACATTAATATTCATTCACAAATGCTATAAAAAAGAAACAATATCTCTGAAAAATGTGATTAACTATTCATAAATTGAAGTACTTTTTGAAAGTAGAAATCTTTAAAATCTATTTTATTAGCACTTTCACTGTTCCATTGTTATAGCATTGTTGCCTGGCTATGCTGGCCTATTTTGTGAAAAATAAGAAATAGGTCATTTAGTGGAAATAACTAACTATAAAGACATTGATGGCAATTTCTCATGGGTGCCACTATTTTGGGTCCGATCAGATACTCTGCAGTAGAAACTAAGCTAAACAGCATCCCCAACTTCCAACAGAATAAAAATACACAAAGCAGATCATATTGTATGCTACTTCAGGTCTCTGATGGTTCGGAAATCGCAACAAGTGCCAATTAACGAACGCTAACTTTTCACAGCATCTTGAAAATTTAAATATACATCAACAATAGGCAAGACGAGTTTCATTAAGACATATATAAGTATATCCATAGCAGTGGAAATGTTAATGAGCTAATTTATGTTTGTATATTATTATAAGTGAGCAGTGGCAGATCTATGAAACTAAAGAATCTTAGAGCCCCTAATCACAGGATTACCCTGAAGCAACTATTTTTAATGAGGAAATCTTTCAACAAAATCAATGTTTTGTTTTTTTTCAAAATATTAAAATAAAGCCATTCTAATGCTAAAACCATAAGCTAATGTTGACCTCTTAGTTAAAATAACCCATTTCATATGGCCTCAAAATTTCATTGTAATTGGTTAAATTTTAAATTTTTCTTGGAGGCTTGCAACAGCCAAGCCCACAGCTATATGGGCTCGTTGAGCTTGCCAGAATCTATTTCATAGATTACATTTTGGCAGCTGGATCTGCAAATCTATTGTTGCTGGTTGCAAAGGGGCCCCTACATCTGTTCAAGCTTCAGGGCTCCCAAAATGTAGCTCTGCCACTATAAACGAGTCATTATGGTGGGATTTGTGTTAGCGCAAAACTAGGAAAATGCCAACTTGAAGAATAAAGCAATTTCCTGTTAAATAATAACAGTAGAGTAGGGTGTACATTTATAGTGACCAGGAATGATTTGATTTCTCAAGGGAGATAACTATGTATAGTAAATACAATTTATAAAATTGTTTTATCTTAGTTATTGGCAAATAAAAAATTTGGCAATATTTAACATTTGCACAAAAAAAAAAAGAAAAAAAAAATGTGTTAAAAAGATGGTTATTCTCTTGACATCACTATTACTGTATAGACTTTTGACTCTCAAGTCAATGTTTATTGACAGGATTATAAAAATGTGAACCAAGTACAATGCAATATTTATTTACCATTTTATAAAGATATAAATTTGAAAATAAATCTTTTTATTCAGAGATCGTTTTAAAAATTACAAAGTTATCAAAATACATAAACCAATGCAATATTTATTACGTACCATTTTATAAATAATTATGAAAACAATTTTTTTTATTCAATCTAATAATTAGTGTTTAGCATCTTTGCTGTCATTCTCAAGAATAAAGGAAAGGTATAAATCTATTTATATATATTTGGATTTTATTAAAATTCTAATCATTTAAAAAAAAAAACCAAAAAAACAAACAAACAAACAAACATTGCCAAGAAAGTCAAAAGTGTATACAGTAATAATGGTGCCAGGAGAATAACAATTCTTTTAACATTTTTTTCTTTTGTGGGCACAAAGGTTAAATACTGCCCAAAATTCTATAAACATGAACTGATTTGGCATCAATGGTGGCTTTTAAGTGTTAATAATGCACAAAAAAATAAGCAGGTTAGAAATTTGAAATCTTTACAGATAATTTTTATTTCTATTTAAAAAAAAAAACAAATTACTCAAAGCAAATGTTTATATTTGAAAAGTTTATTGATGATTTGTAGAAAATGTACAAATGCGGAGATGATTGAGACATTTTTCAAGGCTGTGAATTACACAATCAAATTTCATATTTAAACAAATGCCAAAATTTAATATGAAATTTCTCATTGCAAAGAATAGCATGTCAGTATAAGGCATACAGTGGAATGTTAGGTGCTGGTGAAATAACTTTCAAAACAGAAGAGTAAATAGTCAAAATGGAGGATCATAAATAAATCTTCCCATCAAATGAAGGTCGAATGGAGGAGAAAGTAATAGGAAAAACAGAACAGATCCCTAATTTTTTCTTTTTTAATTGAAACAATTTTCTTCTTTTAACTGCAGAGCAGGTGTGTTTATTTGTGTGCAAAATAAAAAAAAAATCCATTAGCTTCCTAATCTGAGACATCTATTCAATAAACCTGAAGGCACAATAAGACTGTAAAAACCTTTTGATTACTTAGTTATTCACATTGTGAGGGTCCCATTCCAATAAGCTTCCCTTCACTTGCTCCCCAACCCATTTCTATGCAATTTTTCTTTTTGTATTCCAGATGTAAAGCTTTAAATATTTAGTACATCGTTTCTGAGTCACTCTTCATTTTTGTAGAAACATTTGGAGAGCGGCTAAAAAGAGGAATCTTCCAAAAATGATTTAAACAAGGAAGGGAAAAATACTGTATTCTCGTTTTGATAATACCACACAGGATTCATTTTTTTTTTTAAAAATGATCTTAAGCAGAAAACTTTCTTTATGGTTATTATAATTAATGCATTAGCTTTGTAAAAAATCAGCTTTCTTCCTTTTCTAATGAGGAATATTTTTGACAACTTTGTATCATTTCAAAAGATTTCTTGCAAACAATCTATTTGGAGAATGACTCCCAATTAGCCATGAAGAAAAAACAACCAGGGTATAAATGAAAATTTTTAAGAAAAAAAAAAAAAAAATATACACGTTATTTTTGTATAGCATTTACATTATTAAACCATTCTTTTAAATACTTATAAATATTTTGTGCGTGTGTGTGCATATGAGGGGAAATGTAATTTTTCTTGATAGGATGGGAGTGTTTAACCTTTCTTGAGGTCACTGTATTAAAAGTTCAGAGAATTTCCAGACTAATCAATTTGTTCATTTCTCAAGTTATCCAGCATCCCCTACAGTGTTTCAACACACAGTTCAACAATCATTCCATGAGCAAAAGAAAAAAGAGTAACTGTGTGTGTGTGTGTGTGTGTGTGTATGTATATATATATATATATATATATATATATATATATATATATATATCTCAAACAGATGCTTATAAGTGACCTGATTTTCTTTCACCCTCATCATGTGTGCAATTTTGTAGATAATACAACAAGGGGAAAAGCTTTTTAATGTGTTTTGCTGACATGTATTAGGTTTGATTTCTTCAGGTTGGAATGAAAGACAAAACAATGAGTAAGGAAAAGACCCTCGGGATTTTGTTGAGGAGAAGGTAATTTAATTTATTGCAAATGTCTCATCTGCTATCCACAGTTTTTGTCTTTCATTCCAACTTGAAGAATCCAAACCACATACATGTCGGCAAAACATGTCAAAAAGCTTTCCCACTCTGTATAGTTATCCCCAATTTTGTTTTGGATACTATTATACAATCTACTAACACAAACATGTGTGTGTGTGTGTGTGTGTGTGTGAGAGAGAGAGAGAGAGAGAGAGAGAATGATATATAAATTTTCATATATCAAGAAAAATATGGGGGTAAAAAAAAAAAAAAAAAAGAAAAAAAAAAGAACAAGGAAAAGTTTTCATGTGATGTGTTTTGTTCTTTATAACTTCATCGGACTGAATTTGTTATTTGGCGCAATGACTTGTGCATGAACAAGGGATGCTGGGAATAATTTTTTTTTTGTGCTATAGGTATATAATCTAGGTGATTCCATTTTTATTCTTTTTGTTTCCATCATTTTTGATATTAGATATCCCACACTGTGATAAGAGAAGATCTTTCAGGAATGGTGAAATGTTATAATAGAGAGTGTATATATATATATATATATATATATATATATATATATATATATATAATTAAATTACGAAGAACTTGGTAAACCGAATGGGTATTTCCAAGGAGGATGAAATCTTGAAAGCTCAATGTGAATACAGAGCTAATATTTAATGAAAAACAGACCACTTTAAAGGTACCATTACAATAATTTTTCATTGTTGGAATTGTTACCTGATGATCCGGAGTCCTTTAAAAAGGATTTTGGTGAAATAAATTATTGTAATGGTACCTTAAAGTGGTCTGTTTTTTCATTAAAAAAAAAAAAAAAAAAAAAAAAAAAAAAAAAAAATAAAATAATATATATATATATATATATATATATATATATATATATATATATATATATATATATGAAAGTCTTATTGAATTGTATATCTGGCATTTTTGCAAAGAGTACGGATATACTGTAAGCTCTAAGTAACTATTAATCTAGATACCTAGTTTAAGCCTCGAGAATTGCTCCTAATCTTGTTTCAAAAAATAATCATAGTTTTCCCTGAGAGTATTTGCACATAAGCGAATATAATGAACTCAGAACTCCGATTAAAAATTCTCAAGTCTTACAGCACCTGGTATTCCCTAGTGGTCACCCATCTAGGTATTGACTAGGCTTGACATTGCTCAACTTTGGTGCTCATAAAGGAACCTGTGTTTCAAATATATATGTGACCATAAGCCAAAAATTCAAGAGAAAAATATTTAACTTTTATACAAGGTTTTCAGCATGTTGTATTGAACTCTCAAAATGCTTTGTCCCTTCTTTCCGATTTGAACTTACATTAACTTTTATGCGCAAAATACAAACATAAATGAGGTAGACATCTTTGTATAATGGAATTCATTTTTTTTTCTTAAAATCTTATTTCTGCTTTTATTTATTTATTTTTTTTGCAATTACAAGTGTAATAACATGGTGGGGAAAATATGTAAGTCAGAAAAATTCACAAATCTCTTGTAGTGTGCATATATGCTTGAGATCAGAGATTCATTCAGCCATTCAAATTTTATCTATAAAAAGAGATCAAATATTTCCAATGTGTAGATTCAAATACATTATTATTATAATAATTTTTTTTTTTTTTTTAAATTGTGCCCCAGTCTGAACAATGTAAATAGTGTAAATAATTACAATACCTCATCTCAGAAATATAGACAGCCTTTTGCTTTTGTTTGTATTATAAAGTATTAATATCAACTGAAGTCATAGGTCTTTTTTTGTTTTTTTAAATTTGGGGGTTATATATATATATATATATATATATATATATATATAAAACCCCTCCCCTAAGAAGAACTGAAATTTTGTAAAAAGTAATCAGATTTAATTTTGATTTTCTTTTTCAAGTTTCTGAACATGTAGTTGTCTATTTTTTAAATTTGCTACAGCAAGATGAATAAAAGATGTATGACTGCAGAGAAAGCCAAATCTCTGACCTGGCTGCACAGAAGTGCCCGAGCTAGGATAGACATCACCATTTCCTGACCCTTGATCTTCATCGTCTGTAATCACGTCTTCTCCACTGCCATCAGAGGAGGAGGCCATGTAATCTTGCTGGAAGAAAAAAAGAATGAAAAAAAAATTAGCCGAGAAACTTCACAAGTGGAATATAAACAAATTGGAAACAAAAGAGAGAGGGAGAGAGTCACGGGGGGAAAAGAGAGAGAGGGAGAGAGTCAACGGGGGAAAAAGAGAGAGGGAGAGAGTCACGGGGGGAAAAGAGAGAGACGGGGAGAGAGTCACGGGGGAAAAGAGAGAGGGAGAGAGTCACGGGGGAAAAGAGAGAGAGGGAGAGAGTCACGGGGGAAAAGAGAGAGAGGAGAGAGTCAATGGGGGGGGAAAAGAGAGAGAGGGGAGAGAGTCACGGGGGGAAAAGAGAGAGAGGGAGAGAGTCAATGGGGGAAAGAGAGAGAGAGGAGAGAGTCACGGGGAAAAAAGAGAGAGAGGGAGAGAGTCACGGGGAAAAGAGAGAGAGGGAGAGAGTGGGGGGAAAAGAGAGAGAGGGGAGAGAGTCAGAGGGGAAAAAGAGAGAGAGGGAGAGAGTCACGGGGGGAAAAGAGAGAGAGGGAGAGAGTCACGGGGGGAAAAGAGAGAGGGAGAGAGTCACGGGGGAAAAGAGAGAGAGGGAGAGACTGGGGAAAAAGAGAGAGAGGGAGAGAGTCATGGGGGAAAAGAGAGAGGAGAGAGTCAATGGGGGAAAAAGAGAGAGAGGGAGAGAGTCAATGGGGGAAAAGAGAGAGGGGAGAGAGTCACGGGGGAAAAGAGAGAGAGGAGAGAGTCACTGGGGGGAAAGAGAGAGAGGGAGAGAGTCACGGGGGAAAGTGAGAGAGAGGAGAGAGTCACGGGGGGAGGAGAGAGGAGAGAGTCACGGGGAAAGTGAGAGAGAGGGAGAGAGTCACGGGGGAAAGGAGAGAGAGGGAGAGAGTCACGGGGGGAAAGAGAGAGAGGGAGAGTCACGGGGGGGAAAGGAGAGAGAGCGAGGAGAGACGGGGGAAAGGAGAGAGAGGAGAGAGTCACGGGGAAAAAGAGAGAGAGGGAGAGTCACGGGGGAAAGAGAGAGAGGAGAGAGTCACGGGGGAAAAGAGAGAGAGAGTCACGGGGGAAAAGAGAGAGAGAGAGTCACGGGGGAAAAGAGAGAGAGAGAGTCAATGGGGAAAGTGAGAGAGAGAGAGAGAGAGAGAGTCATGGGGAAAGTGAGAGAGAGAGAGAAAGTCATGGGGAAAGAGAGAGAGAGAGAAAGTCATGGGGAAAAGTGAGAGAGAGAGAAAGTCATGGGGGGAAAGTGAGAGAGAGAGAGAAAGTCATGGGGGAAAGTGAGAGAGAGAGAGAAAGTCATGGGGGAAAGTGAGAGAGAGAGAGAGAGAGAGAAAGAGTCATGGGGGAAAAGAGAGAGAGAAAGAGTCGTTTGAAATATCTGAGTGCTAACAATAATTCAACTCCAACCTTCTTTAGGTGCTTGGAATTTTGAACTGAACCCTTTATTTTATTCTCCAGTGTAGACTGTTCTAGTTCCACTTGACATGCCTCTTCCGATTGTCTCAGTATCAGTTATCTCCCTTTAACTCAACTCTCCAAGTTTTTGTTCACCTCAGCTATAGCTAGGTATTGAACTCAACTCTTTTGGGTCAGGTCACTGGATTCAACCAACACTTTTACCCTCAAGGACATGGCCCAGTTGTTAAAAACTATAGCTGAGGTGAACAAAAATTTGGAGAGTTGGGTTAAAGGAAGATAACTGATACCGAGACATCTGGAAGAGCCATGGCTCGTGGAACTAGAACAATCTACCCCAGTGGATAAATAAAGGGTTTAGTTCAAGTTTCCAATCACCTGAAGAAAGCTGGAGCATACAATGGCTGAAACAGTGTGAATATGACAACGAAGACGAGGACAACAGTCCAAACAGTGTAAATAATTACAATACCTCATCTCAGAAATATAGAGATATTGAAAGATTTATTTGTATCCCATGTTCCTTCAACACCAGTTTCATAAGAACAGATGATAGGCTAAAGAAGCCCAGTTGTAGATTAATTACAAGGAATTTGTAGATCATGTCACTTGGAATGCAAATTCAGGGTCCTTCAAATACCTGTTCTTGCTAAACGGGTGTTGAAACAATGTGGAAAGTGAGGATTGCACGGATCCAGCCCATATATGGTAGTAATACTGCATTTTTGATCAGATTTGACCTTTGTAAAGAGAGCATATAAGGAGCAGTTGGGTACTTTCTGGAGCAGTGAAAAGAAACTACCATTTTCTAGCCTCTTTATCAACACACAAAAGTTCAAATGGTATATTTTTAGTGGATACCCATGTTTGTAATAGACTGTTTTCATTAAAAAAAAAAAACAAAAAAAAAAACAAAAAAAAACACTGCATTATGTCTACTGATCTATGTGCTTAAGAAAATGTACTCCTCAGTAGTGTTCAAATCACCCCCCCCCTTTGTAAGAGGAACGATAGTACTTTAGACTGCTTGGCTATATTAACAAAAATAAAATGTTAGGAAATCAATTGACCAAAATCACCTGAAAATATTGAAAGCTTGAAACCCAAGGCAGTGGAATCGTCTGATCTTCTAATTTTTTATTATATATATATATATATATATATATATATATATGAAAAAATAAAAAAAAGTGTTCTTTTTATATATATATATATATAAGTACAAAAAATTAAAAATTAGAAGATCAGACGATTCCACTGCCTTGGGTTTCAAGCTTTCCAAAGATAGTCAGAAGCCAAAAATGATGTCAGTCAGTAGGATACTGAGAGAAAAGACATTGAAAGCAAGCATTCTTTGCAATAAAGTGCTCAATATCAAAGAGAACATTAATAGAATTAATATTATTAATTAATGTCACTTAGTTCATTGATGTTACCTTAAGCATCCTGACTCCAGGGTTTTGTAAGTGGACCTGTCCATAGACTCTTCAGGGTTATCAGCAATTTATTCATACTCTGGCATCAGGATGCTGAAGGTAACATCAATCAGTTAAGTGGCAAACTGTTACTTATATTGATTACTAGCTTAGAAGCTGCCCTATAGGGTGGCTTTTAAGCTTGTTTCCATTCCCAACCCTTGAACAACCAACATAGAACTGGCCATGAGAAAAGTAGGGTTCCATCAGATGAATCTAGTTACTTTCAATTATTGTCCTTGGGGCTTATTGAATGAAATTGCATAGATCATTCTCACTGGAAACTGAAGTCTTTTCAACTCAAAAGGAAGATCTGGAGGAATTAAGGGGATTCTTAGAATTAAAACTGTCACCCTTTCCTGGGCCAGTAAGGATCTCTGCATCCAAGAGATGAGGAAGCATCTTCACAATTAACCATGTTCTATTACAAAGCTTTGGAGAATCCAGATTTCTCAATAGCATAACTGGCACATTTTCTCTCAGTTCCAGCTTGTGTGATGGCATTCTAGAAGGATTCAATGAGTTCAGGAACTCTACTGGATAATTCAATGCCTGCTCTTGTTCAACCACTGTGTCAATGGAAAAGTATTTCATGTTTGTTCTGGAATTTCTTGGAGAAGTTTCCAGTTGATGCTATCCAGAGTTTGTTTTTTGGGAGCTAATATGGCCCTCTCACAAAGCCAGTTTGAATTCATGAAGTGGTGTTTAATGTTGGGATAAACATGGTTAGTCAAGTCTTGGATACTTGAGACTGAAACTCTGCAACCATTTGAGAGTGAAATCTCAATTTTGATTGTTCCATTACCAAGCTGCAACAGCAAATCTTCCTACTTCAAGGTCACCTGTGATTCTCACACTCATGTTTGTTTTCAGGCTGAGTCTTTGAACATGGTTCTAGCTATAAGAATTTTTCAGAAAGTTGTGTCACTTGAAAATGTGACACATATTTTTGCATTTATTCTAGAAGATAAAGTTGAGAATTGAAAGCTAGAGGGTTGTGTCCCTTTAATTGAAAACATGAGATGCAGAGGCAGTTTCACATTATATATATATATATATATATATAAAGACAGAGAAGAGCGCGAGAGAGAGAGAATGAGAATGTGTGCGAGAGAGCTCTTAAAAAGTGTTTATGTAGAGGTAAGGATTAAAATCTGAAATTGTCTACATAAATGAAGGTTTTGGAGTGGGAGTAGTGATCAGACTCTGAAAAGGAATCAACATGGTGGTTGAGGAAGCAAGTAAAGTTTGGCAGTTGCATTTTAATCAGAATCTATGTTGAAGCAACAGATAGAGAATTATTATTATGTTCTTTTTTCTGTCTTCCCCAGCTGAAGAGCCAATAATGTAGCATTTCAAAAAGGCATTTAGAGCTTCTTTAACTTCATAATAGACTCTTCATTCAGTATTACCATTGTGTTACAGACACTACCTTAAGTGGCTCCCAAGCCTTGTATCAAGTTAAACTAGCATAAAAATGTGAAAGGTGACAAGAGAGGGAGAAATAGAGATAAAAAGAATGTTATTTTAAAGTGGTATTGTCAACAAAATTCCATAGAAACAAAGAACGGGAATTTTTGTGTAATATCTACCCCACCACCTACCCAGCAGTGAACGCTGGACAATTTGCTTACAAATGAAGAGATTTAAAGCAACAGATTTGGCTCCACCAATGGATGCTCAGAATACCACAGACAAGACATAGGTGTAACAAGGAAGTTACAAAGAAAATGGGGACTGAAAAGACATACTCAAAATCAGAAGTAGTTGAAAGTTTTTGAGGATAGTCATCTACTAGGGCAACCAGCCAATCCCTATTGCAGACGCATGCTCAGGTACATTTATGTTTATTCAACAACCACAGAGCCCACCTGCAGTTTATACTGCAAGTATGGTAAGCAGACCTTAGTTACAGTTTCTGGGAAAGAGGGTGTTATCTAGAGTGATCAACAATTTGAACAAGGCCAGCATGCTCAAGCTCTCAGCCACAATGACTTGTGACTTCATGCTAGCACAGCTATTGATGGGCCCAAGGGTTCCATCTACCCAATTTCACTCACAAGTCAACCTGTGGTATGGTTTTCAGGTACTTTCCAAAAGTGCTGCACACTGGGATCGACCTCTCTAGTCTGATAACATCAGGAAGTCTCCTTCCTGACAAAATCGAACATGGTGAGATTCAAACCCAGGTCTCAGGATCAGAATGCGAACATTCTAACCACCCGGCCACGTGCTTATTGAGATGCACAGTGAAGAAAAAGGGTTTGTAAAATTTAACACCCCATTTGAAAGAAGGAGGGACAGAGTAACCGACCCAATGTATTTGGGTGAGTGGATGGCAGAGCACGGACAAAGAGTGATGGTAAAGTGTTAAATGTTGTTTAGAAAAATAAAAGGATGAAGAGCTACAATTGCTCATATCCTGAAGGGACACAGCATATAAAAGAAGCCACCATAGTTTCACATTGAATTTTTCTCAAATAACTGTACTTAAAAATAATGAAATTCTTGAAAATTGAAATATGAAAAGAAAAAACTAGATTAAGGCACAATTATTAGTGGTTTCATTTTCATCAATGTTTTAAACATGATTGATAAAGAAAGAAACTTTATTAAAATACAATACATTGCTTGCTAGTTGATTATTACACAATGACATTGGATTAAAAAAACTCTTAAAAGAAATATTAATAAAAATAAACAAGCAAATGCCCAATGGATCCCCAAAATGGAAATTGCTCACAATTTAAAGCCATGTTGGTTCACTCAATCCACTGTTGTATAAAAAAAAAATCTGACTAAAAGCAAGCTTAAATAATTTAAGTTTATTCTAAATGCAAAAAGAATTCCTATCTGTAAATCTGTCTTATTTGGCGGCCTGTTGTTTGCATAAATGCAACCAATTGCAAACAGATGAACTTTCAAGGTTAAAAGGTTCTCCAGTTTGTATGACCTCTACAACATTAACAATGAATTTCACTCAAGGAACAACTGTCAAGTCAATTTCACTTCAGTTCTCCAAATATATATATACTTCACAGTATGTCATTTAGACAAGAGGAGGAGGTGAGCTGGAATTAATAAAAAAAAATGCTGGAATTCATAGAAATCTGCCTTTGCAATATGCAAAATCTTTTGAATGACATAGAAAAAATCAATTGGAAACTGAATTATCTATAGTACTTAAGATTACATCATTTAAAAGGATGCACGTGTCATGGACTATTTTGTTTTGATCACATGAGAAGACAAAAGATATATCAGAGACACTACTTTTTTAACATTTGTTTCAGTGAAATGGAAAAAGTTGTCAATTTCAAATCTTTTCATTTGTACCTACTTCTTGAAATAAAGACTAGCATTCACATTTCTGATTGTTATTGCCATATTTTGTTAAAGATGTTAAGCTCAAACCATTTACGATGTGATAAGGGAATTTCTACGAATGTTTTATTGTAGTAGAACTCACTAACAGAAATTTCAAATAGGAAAACTGAAATTTTCACAGGTTAAAACTAGATGATTTATGTGGGTGTTAATAGAAATTCTTCAGTCATTTTTGTGAAGGAACTGAGACAAGAAAGGAGAAAAAAAAATATTCTGAATAAGAAAAAAAAAAAAAAAAATTTTTGTTGAAACGCTAGTCTAAGTTAAATATAAATATTAACTTGAGGTAACATTCAGGAAATTTTGATTTGAACCCCTTGATTAACCTAAAGGATAGACTGTTCTCATTCTATTGTCCATGTCTAGGGATACCTCGTCTTGTTCCTTTTCAACATTGTTCAGTTATTGCTAATCCTGTTTCTATTTAGTGATTGTGTATTACTTGGTACAGGGATTGAGCTAACAATTCATCAAGGTCATTGTCCATGGGAGTATTTACTATTCTTTAGTCTTTGTTAGCATAGGTGTATTCAGGGAGAGGAATATATTTATATATATATATATATATATATATATAGAATTAATCAGAAGTATCAATGCGATTATTGGCGACATCCGTCGCTAGAAAACATAATATATGCATTAAAATCCTGTTCATCCATACTATTATGACATTACACTATATTATTGAACTATATACTTAGTTCATGACCTAAAAACTGAATACACTTGTAAAAATAGAATACGTGGATTTAACACATCACAAGAAATATTTAAATAAAATTCTCACTTAAAAATTTTGAAAAACTTAGCGTTGCGTCTTTGCACATTCCGATATCTTACAACCGTCAATAATAGCATATATTCAAAAAACATCTTTCGGTCGACATACAGGTATATCGCCTCAAGTTTTTGATTTTATAAGGAAAAAAAAAAAAAAACAAAAAAAAAACACATGCCTGATGATGGATGGAAGACCGTAAGTACTAGCATTTTAACATCGAATAAACTGAAAAACTACAGACAACAAGTTTTTCTTCAAGGATCAAAACTCGCACTAGGGATGAACAGGATTTTAATGCATATATTATGTTTTCTAGTGATGGATGTCGGCAATAATCGCATTGATACTTCTGATTAATTCTATGTGTGATTATTTCTTGTATGTAAATCATATGCTGCCTAATGTTTTTATTATATATATATATATATATATATATATATATATAGAGAAGAGATACACAGGGGGAGAGAGAAGAGAGACACGCACAGGGGGGGGAGAGAGAGAGAGAGACACGCACAGGGGGGGAGAGAGAGAGAGACAGACAGGGGGGGAGAGAGAGACACGCACAGGGGGGGAGAGACACACACACAAAGGGGAGAGAGAGAGACACACACAAAGGGGAGAGAGAGAGACACACACACAAAGGGGGAGAGAGAGAGACACACACACAAAGGGAGGGGAGGGAGAGAGAGAGACACACACACAAAGGGGGAGAGAGAGAGACACACACACACAAAGGGGGAGAGAGAGGGGAAAGAGAGAGAGACACACACACACAAAGGGGGGACACACACACACACAAAGGAAAGGGAGAGACAGAGAGAGAGACACACACACACAAAGGGAAAGGGGGAGACACACACACACACAAAGGAAAGGGAGAGAGACACACACACACAAAGGAAAGGAGAGACACACACACACACAAAGGAAAGGGAGAGAGACACACACACACACAGGGGGAGACACACACACACACAAAGAGAGAGACACACACACACACAAAGGGAGAGAGAGAGACACACACACACAAAGGGAAAGGGAGAGAGACACACACACACACAAAGGGAAAGGGAGAGAGACACACACACACACAAAGGGAAAGGGAGAGAGACACACACACACACAAAGGGAAAGGGAGAGAGACACACACACACACAAAGGGAAAGGGAGAGAGACACACACACACACAAAGGGAGAGAGACACACACAAAGGGAGAGAGACACACACAAAGGGAGAGAGATACATACAAAGGGAGAGATACATACAAAGGAGAGATACACACAAAGAGAGAGACATACAAAGGGAGAGAGATATACAAACAAAGGAGAGAGATACATACAAAGGAGAGAGATACACAAAGGGGAGAGATACATACAAAGGGAGAGAGATACAAAGGGAGAGAGATACATACAAAGGGGAGAGAGATACATACAAGGGGAGATACATACAAAGGGAGAGAGATACATACAAAGGGAGAGAGATACATACAAAGGGAGAGAGATACATACAAAGGGAGAGAGATACATACAAAGGGAGAGAGATACATACAAAGGGAGAGAGATACATACAAAGGGAGAGAGATACATACAAAGGGAGAGAGATACATACAAAGGGAGAGAGATACATACAAAGGGAGAGAGATACATACAAAGGAGAGAGAGATACAGGAGAGAGAGATACAAAGGAGAGAGATACATACAAAGGAGAGATACATACAAAGGGAGAGAGATACATACAAAGGGAGAGAGATACATACAAAGGGAGAGAGATACATACAAAGGGAGAGAGATACATACAAAGGGAGAGAGATACATACAAAGGGAGAGAGATACATACAAAGGGAGAGAGATATATACAAAGGGAGAGAGAGGGGGAAGGGATAAAGAGAAGAAGGGAGGAAAGAGTAATAGACAAATGTAAACAGTATATGTTTTTTTCTTTGAAGGAAAAAACATTACTAAGGCTGAAGAATGCATCAGCCAAAACACTGTGTCAACAAAAGTACATATACAAAGAGATTCAATTTTCCAAACAATATTTGCAATATATTTGAAATATAATTTAAATAATAAAAATAAAAGGAATTTACTGGATTCTAATTATTGTTCAAACTACCTTTTTAGACAATGGCTGAGCTTGCAAAATATTTACAATAGACATAGCTAAGATTTTTACTATGTTTGTCAGCAGAGGAAATGTATTAATTTTGATTCCAGTTACAGAATCTGCAATGTTCATTCTCTTTGGAACATTTTTAAAATTATAAACGTACCCACTTCATATGCTAGTATAATAAATTAAAATAGAAAAATTGGAAATCATAATAAAATGGACTTTTTTTGCAGCCATATATTTCATTTTAAAAGGAGTATACATAATACTATTTTTGATGGAAATTAAAACTGTACAGAAACAAATATTTTCTTCCTTTTGTGGTATTTAATGGATGCCTCATTGGCAAAGAAACTTCATATACAGAAGTCAAACGTTACTCATTGGTTGGAAAAGATTTTTTTCTGAAAGATGAATTGGTAGCCAACAAATTTACCCAATATTATCCCTGCTGAAAAATACTGGCAACATCATGAAATAGCTTAGTGAAAAGGTTTTCTTGGACTTGCCCAAAGAACTGCAGAATTCTTGACAACATTTGGAATGGATGACTGTTTTGCAAGAATTAAAAGCTAAACAACAAACATTCAGATTCTGTTTTTGCATACCAAAGTCAGATTCTGTGAAGGCTTCTGGCAGGGCTCCAGATTAACTTTTTTCACCCTGGCTTCTGAGGCAAAACCAACACAAAACTACTGATAGTATAGTAACTTAGTGTCATTTCCAAACAGTCAATTTTATTAGGAAACACTGAGAGCGAGATTTAGGTCATAATATTTCAAAAACATTTGGTCTGTCAGTATTTGCTGACGTAATCATCCACAAGCTCAGGATTATTGCTAAAACCGCAGGAAGATAACCGAAACAATATCTTTTTTAAATTTGATTAATTGAATTTTGTCAGCTTATCAGTTCAACCAAGCAATGATTCTGAAAGTTTTTTTTTTCTCTAAAAAGGAAAGAATTATGGTTCCAGGATAGCTATACAAATTTATTTTTTTTTTTTTTTTGGATATGTTGTCGTGCTTACTTGTCCATATAAACACTGTTACATAGAGATTTTCTTACTGCTTTTAACCAATTAAATTTTGAGTGTATTGAAATCACTTTACCAACTTTATTACATTACGACAAACTTGTGTTATTTTATTACTTGCAAATAAACCCCAATTATTTCAAATAATATTCTGTCCATTTTTACAATCATCTTATCAGTACTGACGTCTCATTGTCTAGTCAGATTTTTCAGCTTTGTGGTACAAACTATTATTATTATTTTATAATATATATTATGTAACACACGTACACTCAGATCATAGGTTACACCTGTTTATTGAAATCATGGTTATATATATATATATATATATATATATATATATGTGTGTATGTGTGTGTGTGTGTGTGTGACTGTCATGGTGCCACATTTTCAATTAAAAGGGACAACTCTAATTTTCAATAGCGCATCTTCTATATAATATATGTGAATGTCAGTGTGTTACACTTTTTCAACTTTACTCCTAGAGGCTGTAGCCCAACATATTATACCATTTTGGAATGAGGCTGACTGTGAACAAATTAAAAACATTCCATGTTGGATCCAGGCCTGCAATCCTGAAATTTTTTATTCCCAACTTTTCACTACTACAATTGTTTTTGGTGATTTTTGTACGTGATTTTTTTTACAATAACAATTTTTATAACTTGGAAATAAATTTGGGAATGATCAAAATTAATTGCAAAATCCAGTGGAAAAAAAAAAATCACCTATATAATAAAAATAATTGTATGGAAAGTAAGGATTTACATACATCAAATTGTCTTTAAATTAAGAGGCAGCAGAAGAATTATTGAACTTTTAAAAGGTATGCTTAAATATTAATGCAATACTTAAATGCAGCAATCAATTTTGAGTTCTTCTGTAGTTTATTGTTGCCTATCACATCTACTATTGTGATGAAATCCCAATCAAGAGCCCTCTGATTAGCTTAAAAAGGCAGCTTTTGAACTAGTGTGAGTGATAACATGTAGGATTTACAGAATATGCCAAATCTTTCATTCATTGAATTGTTATATAAATAACAACATCATTGATTCTGGTAGCAGTGGGGAAATAAGAAAGTAATGAAAAAAAAAAAAAAAAAGAAAAAAAAAAGAAGCATTTTAATGCCAACTTTGTGCACACAAACCCACGATAAAATAGTTTTATCGTATTCTACATTTATGAGTAAAAGTGCTCAATATCAGTGATAGAGTGTAAGTAAGCATTGAAGTCAACACCTATGGCCGAAAAAATGATGACTGCAATGTCCACTATATATATATATATATAGTTTAGCTATGAAGAACTTGGTAATCCGTATGGGTAATCCCAAGGAGGATGAAATCCTGAGAGCTCTGAGGACTCTGGTGAAATAAATTATTATAATGGTACCTTAAAGTGGTCTGTTTTTTTTTAAAAATATATTATATATATATATATATATATATATATATATATAGTAACAAGTCATTATGCCCACACCTTTCAGCATTCTAGCCTTGATTAATAAAAAAATGTAACAGAAATTGTAACTAAAATCCAATTAACATAGTTGCAGTTTAACCCACAGGTTGGCTCTGTCAGTGTTAAACACAATGTGCCTGAGCAGACATCTGCAACAGGGATTAGCTAGTCATGAGTATATTCAGAATAAGTACCCATTATCATGATACACACGTGCGCTCACAGTGGCAAGACAAAATATTTTCTTATTGCTATTAGGTGTTATTACCACTTGTTTTACACATATTCTGTTCAGTTGTTAAGATACAGAAATTGATGATTAGGCAATTAATCTCGCAATTCTCAACCTAAAATTTGTTCTGATAAATTTTAGAATTTGCATTTTCGCAGTGAAGAAGAAAAAAATTGAAACATTCGCCAGGAAATAAGGTAGTCGTTACTGACAGAATGAGGCCATTATATGTCTACTAATATATATAGCAAATATGGTTTGAAACAGATTGATCCCTGTCAAAGTTGACAAGGAGACTCACAGCTTTTTGTTGTAACTGTCTGGACAGGAAAGGTAATTATGGAGAACAGTGTCCTAAAAATACTCAGTCACTTTCTTCCCCAGCAACCATTATGACATGCCACTGAAGAGATTTCTGCTTTTACGCCACATAATGGATTTATGCCACCTTTATATCTAAGTGCCGTCTGATACCAGAAATACTAAAAGCAATTACTTTAGACCAGTGAAAAAATGTAAGTAAAAGTTACTATTTTTTCTGATGAACAATAGTAAATTATAAAATACAACTTATACAATGACATATTAGAAAGTTCAGTGAATAACCAATTATCAGATTTTTTTTTTTTGCAGGGTGGTGATTTTTGCACAAGACCAAAATTCTTCAGCATTCATCCTTCATGGTAAATACATTGAAAACACTTTCAATATCTAAATTATCCTGCATAATACCAAATGCAAAGTTTTACAAAATGCAAAGAAATATACATATGTATATAAAGAAATAATGGATTTATTTTAAATCCAACATTTTTATTACGTTAAACATTATTACAGTGGATACTTGTATTTAAAATAGACAATTATTTATTAAACCGTGTGTAATAGGTCTACTGCATCTAAGAAATCTGAGTAAAGGGATTGTGTTCTCCAGCAGGGATCAAATCTGTATCCTTACTCTTTGCCCTCAAAGAATTTCACAGGAATCAAACGTTTGAAATTCTCCCTCTCATATATATGACAGAAAATTAATATTTTAAATTTTTATTCAGCTTTTGTGCCCTTACAACATTCTCCTGCTTAATTCTGGTACCTTGTGGTTTGTAATTCCCATGTGCTGGCATCAATCGCTAGAGTTCTTTAAATCAGTTTCAAATCATAGTTTACAAACTGTGAAATTACAGTTAAAAACTAACTAAACATGCTAATCTCTCAAAGATTTTCATTATAAACTTATAACACAAAATATTAAAGTGATTTTTCCATGCTCCTCAAAACCTCTAATCTCCAGATTGTTGTTCGATGTAGTATATCATCGTACTCATTTTTCCGTGAAATAGTCTTGTCTAAATATAAAGAATTTGCCAACAGAAAAGATGAAAAGCCGGAAATTGCTCTTCGTAGGCAATGAGAAGATGATGTATTTCCTAAAGCCAATATTATCATGGACTAATTTTAGTATCAAAATTAACTAAAATGAAAAAGTGTATTTTTTTGTTACTATAGTGCCCCCCTATTATGGTTTACTTTTTTTTTGTGAAAGATATTTTGCCTCCAAATACTCATCTATTATTTTCTGTCAACTATTGTGATATGACACACACACACGCGCATACACAATTTTTTTTTTAATCATTTCACCTCAAGGAAGGCAATAATGCTACAAGGAAGGACGCAAGGTGGTACTGGAAGTGAAATAAAATGAATAGACTAAGTAGATAGGACAATAAAAGAACAGGGATCAGGAAGACAGAAAATGGCGATTGGCATTGCATTTAAATTTTTGAAGATTATAGGTGGCAGGGAAGCAAGGAATTGGAAGGGAGTGTCACAGGCAAGAACTGCATGATCAAGATATCTGGTAATAGGATAGAGTGCAAGGAGAATAGCTTTCTCAAAAGGCATCAGTGCTAATGAAAGATCCACAGTGGGAATTTAAAAACAACTCCCATATTGGATGTGTGTCTAGATTAATGGTTAACAAAACAGAAAAGTGAGGTGAGTTCATATTTCAGCTGTGGCAGTTTGTGTTCACATCATACTAATTCTCCTGGGGAAGGCATGAATCCATTTCTCCTCTCTCTGGCTAGGTTTTAAATAACAAGATA